TACAGCATCCCCAAGGCATCACCTGGTCCCCACAGCATCGTGGGGCATCATCAGGACCCAATGGCATCGTGGGGTCCCTGTGGGGTTCCCTGTGGCTTTGGATGCTCTTTATCCCATGGCCATTTTCCTGTGGGCTTTGTGGGCCACTGCAGTCTCTTGGTGGCAAGGACAGGGATGGGGTCAGAGCAGGAGCATCTTGGACAGAGGCAGCCCCAAGGCACTGCCCATCCCTGCAGGAGGCACAGCCAGCACTGGACTCTGCTTTTCACACATTTATCCCTGTCCTCTTCCCTTCCCCCCTGCTCAGCCCTGGCTCCAGCACAGGCTCAGCTTTGTCCTGCTTCCTTGCAAGCACTGCCAGCCCCCTGCCCCCCAGGGATGAGCAGAGCCTCTCCTTGCCCTGGCACCCGGTGTGGACACCGTGGAGCCAAAGCAGAGTGACCCAGCCATGCCCCTGTCCAGCCATCCTTGTTTGCTAGCCGAGACCACACTCTTCCTCACTGCTTTTTAACCATTCCTTCCCCTCCCCTCGCTGCTGGACCATCCTTGTCCATCGCTCTCTCCCCCTGGACTAATCTCTCACTGTCACCACGCGCGTTCTGCTGGAGCCTCATGCTCCCCACTGCTTTCCCCACAGCCACTCCTCCCACGCCAGCTCCTGGCACAGCCCCTGCAGCCTCACAACCGTTTCCCAGCTCTTGGTGGAGCGGTCATCCTTGGGGGCACAGCTTGGATCCCACCACCACCCCCGTTCTCAGTGCATGGACCCCCAGTGCACCCCGAGGCGCTGCCCGGCGCGCTCCTACCTTGTGTCCACGCTCGGGTGCTTGTTTGTGCTTTCACTGCCGGCACACCCCGGGCTGATGGCTTAAAGGATTTTCCTTTAATAACCACCAAATCCCTCTCCTGGGCCGTAAGCTGCAGACCTGGGCCTTTCCTAGGTGCACAGCGCTCCACCGTGCCTTGCTCCTTGCTGCTTTGCATATGCTTGCATCAAACTGGATTTCCCCCCTCCTGGCCCAGCCCAGAGCTTCAAAAGTGCTGAATGCCCTCGAATCTCATTTCCCCTTGTCTGCGAGGACTCTCCCTGATTTCAGGCCCCCCAAGCACAGGGCTGGGCACCTTTTGCCCCGGTTGTGGCAGCCCCTGCTTCACCATCAGCTCTGTTCAGCTTCATTGCTTCCAGCTCCAAAGCTCCATCCCAGTTCCCTGTGCCACAGCTTCTCTGTGCCCTCTGCCACTGGGTAGAGGAGGACAGGCACAGGGTGCTGGGTGCTGCGTGCCTCTGAGCTGCAGGGAGAATAACCCCGAAACCGTCCCCACAACCTGTCCCCTGGTGCAGGGGATGCTGCTTCAGCCATGCAAATGAATTTCACAAGTGCCTTCCCTCCCCTTGCAACAATTTGCCCCTTGATACGATCTCTGTGTCCCCATACAGTTCCCCTGCGTGCACACATGCAGATATCTTACACTGCCCTCTTTCAGTTCTCTTTTTTTATTTCACAGAAAAGCAGATAAAATAGTTGAAAGCTGATAAGTGCATACAGCTTTCAAGGTCAGAGGCAGCTGCAATGATTTCTCTGCAGGAAAAGAGCCTATGCCACAGCTCCCTGCCTCCACCTCGCTCCGTCCTCCTCCCGTCATGTGGCCACAGGATGTGGGTTACAGAGGACTGAGAGAAGGAAGGAATGGGCTGGAGATGAGTGTGGCAGGCACCAGGGCTGCAAGACCAGGGAGCCCAGCCTGCCTCTCACCACCCATCCAGGAGGTCAGGGCAGAGCTGGGGTTCTGCTTTATTTAATCCCAGCCCTGCTTGGTGGGAGCTGCTGGGGGGCTCAGCAAGAAGCTGGCAGCAGCACGGTGTGAACAGGCACGAGGTTGTGGTGGCCACACATCTCCAGGGCCCTGCTGCAACTGCAGCATCATTCTGGCTTTGAACACAGCAGAACCAGGTGGCATGGCTGTTTGCTGGCTTTAATGAGGATGAGCTTGGTGTGGTGATGGGATGATACAAATCGTGTGTCTGTTGAGCTGGGAAAGCTCTGGTGGCCTGTGCTGGTGGAGACATTCATGAAGTCCTCCTGGAGCCAATGGCAACGCACAGCTTGCACAAGGCAGAGGTGCTCAGCTCACTGCCCTGACCCTGCACACCGTGGGGCTGCTGACTCCTGGAGAGGCTCCACCAAGCCTGAGCTGAGCCTGCCTCTGCCTGGCATGGCCACCAAGACAGGAAGGAGAGATTTGAGATCCTCGTGCCAAGCTTGGCCGTCTCCAAGCAGCTCCACTTCTTCTTTCTGGTGCTCGCAGAAAGTGTCTGCTTCCTGCCTCAGTGCTGTGGCAGGGCCAGCTCACTTAGCAGCTCCCCTGATGCTGGCATATTCAGAGCATTCAGCACCAGGGCTCCTGCTGGGCCACCGTGCTGCAGGCAGGAGCTGCAGGTCAGCATAGTGGATGTCCTTGTCCACCTCACTGCTTTGCTGTAAGAATGTAGAAAACCTTGCTAAAATCACCCCTGCATGGCAGCTTCCACACAGAGTGCACGGACAGCTGGATGCTCACCCACCACCCACCACCAGCTGCATCACTGGGGCTTTTGGGCAAAGGTGCCATACAGCACACCTGCATCAGGGCATCACTCTGCCCCATATCCACACCCTGCTCATACCTGGTGGGGCAGCTTTGGGTTCTCTGCATCCTCAACTTCACTGCTGGAGGAAAGGACAGTTGTTAGAGCAAGGACAAGGCAGCTGAGCTCCCCACCACGCCCACAGCAAAACACCACCCAGGCCCAGCAAAACAAAATGGTATTTTCCCTAAATTGCAGCTAAGTGAGGCAGCCTGCTCCCCTCACGGTGCAGAGGGAAAAGGCAGGGGTACTAACCTGGGGGTCCCAGGGTTCCTTGCACAGCATGGGAGAGGGAAGGGCAAGCAGCTGCCTGTGGTCACCTCAGCCACGTGCTGGCTCTGCTCCCCTTCCCTCTGCTTCCTGCGATACAAGCAGAAGGCGAGGATGAAGATGAGGAGGATGAAGCAGAGCACAGCAGCTGCAACCACCATGCTGGGAAAGGGAGAGGACTCTGTGGGGACACAAAGTAAAGTAGGGAGAAGGTGGTGGGCACAGTGCGGCGTGGGCCTGGCTGCAGGCAGGGCTGGGGCTGAGCCAGGACAGCCACGATGGGGTCATGCCAGGATGGAAGCCCACTCACCATACACTGACACCTCCGTGCCCCGACCATGATCAAACAACTCCTCACCCAAGCTCTTTTTGTAAAACTTCACACAGTAATAAGTGCCGGCATCCTTGGGATGGATGTCCTCAATGTAGATGGTGAAGTCTGTGTTGGACTCGTTCACTGCCCTCGTCACACGCTGTGAGGAGCCTTTCTGATCATACACAGTCTGATTGCTGTTGCCCCAGCCCTTCAGCCACTTCACAGGGCCCAGGGGACCCCATTCAGTCACTGTGCAGGTCAGGGTCAGCTTCTGCCCCACGGCCACCCACACCTTGTTCTCGGGCTGCTGCAGCTTGAAGTTCCATCCTGCCTGGGCACCTGCATGTGGGGACAGCAACAGCACAGCAGGGTCTGAGCTCAGCAAAGAGGGGACAGCTTGCTTTGTTCCTCCTTCCCAGCACAGGCAAAGCACCCACAGCTTGTTCAGCTCCTCAGTTGAGAAATAGAGCTGGGTGTGGGAGAGAAAATGGCACTCGATGGGAGTGGTGGAAGCCAGCTTCAAAATGGGCATGGGGAGAGATTTTGACTCCTGTTGTGCTCCTTATACCTGGCACTAGAGCTGCCGGGGGGGGGAAGGAGGGGAGGGGGCAGATGGGGGAAGCCAGGCAGGAAAAAGCCCTCCGCTCCCTCCAGCATGGCTGCTAAATGTCTTCAACAGGATCCCAGCTCCTGCCCCCATCCCCTCCTGCCCAAAGCCTTTGAATTGGTTTCCTCGGGGCAGTGAAGCGCAGTGCACCAGACCCCGCACATCCCTCACTCTGGGCACAGACATGAGGCCAAGTGCCACGTCCCAATGCTGGGGGAAATGGCCAAGGAGTTCTGGGATGGGAGGTGGATTGTCCAGACACCCTGCAGTCCCTCACCCCAAGCAACCCCACACCAGCCCAGAATGCCAGGAGAGAAAAGCCTCCAACCAAAGTTTATTTTTGCAGGCATGCAGACAGCAGACTCCCAGTTGCGGCCGCGTCAACCCCTCCCAACCAGCAGCACTCAGTGGCTGGTGCCAGCTACCAGCAACAGGTACTGAGAGCCCTGACCACAGCTTCTGCTGCTGTACTGCCCTGTACTCACCCCACAGCCATGCCAGGAAGAGGCTTTGCTGCCCGATCAGAAGCCGAACCAGCAGCACAGCACGGAGCTCAGCCATCGGTGCTGCCAAAAGTTTGGGCTCTGACTCCAGAAGGAAAATGAGAAGCTGCACAGGAAATGGAGGCGAGTGGGCACATGCTGTTAACACTTTTTGTGCCTGCTCAGGGCAGCCGGTAGGACACTGAGCCAGCAGGGAGCTCTGCGGGGCTTAAACCACAAAGTGCTTCCCAGGCTGGTGCACTCTGAGCTCACCCCAACCCCTGCACAGAGCTTAGGGCTGGAGGGGCTGTGGTGGGCACAGGGCAGGAGAGCAGCTCTGACTTTGGTCTCAGCAAGACAGCCTCAGCAGTAGGGGGATATGCAGACGCACTGCACAAGTGGCACAGCAGCCTCCCGTGCTTGAGATGCACGTCAGTTTGAAGCCAGTCTCTCTGGCTGCCCCATGTTGGTGGCTGTGGCAGTGTCACTCATTCAAGGGTGGAGTGGGACCAGATTGATGACAAGGAACGCTCATCAAAACAAGATGTCGCAAACACCATCGGCACTCACTGGGATTGCACAGGGCTGCAGAGAGGAGCTTGGTTACTGGAAAAACCAAAGCCCCTTCCTTCCCGTTTCAGCAGGAAGAAAGCCTGGGGCCCCATCACTCTGAGCCACATTGAGCCACAGCAGCAGGTATTAGAAGCACTCATCACGACTCTGGCATTGCAGGCAATGCCTCTCACCTGCCTGGTGCTTCTCCTGCTCCAGAATGCCCCAGGTGAGTGTGTGGTCCTGCACAGCTACAGCCTTTCCCAGGATGCACTCCCCATTGCTGCTGGCAGGGCAACACTTCTTCAAGCCCAAAGATATTTGGGCTTATTCTCTCCCATCTTCCAGCTTGCTTTTATCCCCAGCCAAGCACTTTTCTTTATGTGACCATGTCCAAATACCTGTTGTCTTTGTCCCACAGTGCAGCGTCAAAGTGCCAGCTGCCATGGGTGGTGAGGAATGAGGAAATCTCTCTGCCTCCTGCTCTGGGGTCTAGGAAGTCCCTGTGCTGCACCCTGGCTCTAGAGCTTCTTGCTAGCCCCAGAATTTCCTGTCACTGTCCCCAGGTGTGGGTGCCCAGAAGTACCCGGACTTCAAGCTGCAGCAGTCCCAGGGCCCAGTGGTGGTGATCAAAGGGGAGATGCTGACCCTGAACTGCACAGTGTCTGAATCGGGTCCTGTTGGCCCTGTGAATTGGCTGAAGGACCAGGGCAGCAGCAATCAAACCATTTATGATCAGAAAGGCTCCTCCCAACGTGTGATGAGAGCAGTCAATGTGTCCGAAACAGACTTCACCATCCACATCAGGGATGTTCGTCTTGAGGACGCCGGCACCTATTACTGTGTGAAGTTTCGCAGAAACACCTCTGGTGATGAGGTGTTTAAGAGTGGTGGGGGCA